TTGTCTTGATTACTACAGTTTAATAATGACTATTGAAATCAGGTACTAATTTGGGGAGAACTAACAATTTTGAGTCATTCAAACCACAAAAATCATGGAATCTCTGTATTTATTATTACTATTACTGTTATTATTATCATCATCTGGGTTTTTGAGACAGGGTCTCCCAATATAGTTCAGACTGGCCTCTGAATCCACTTTGTAGTCCAGGCTGGCCCTGAACTTGCATTGATCCTCCTCCCTCCTCCTCCTAAGTGCTGGGATTTACAGGCTTGTAGCATCATGCCTTGCTGACCTCTACATTTGTTTAACCCTTTATTTCACTCAGCAGTGTTCTGTGGCTTTCCTTGTAATTTTCTTGCACACTGTTTTGATACACTGCTTCCTAAGTACTTCATAATTTTTAATTTCTTAGACATGGAGTTTGGCTCTACTGCTCAGACTTGGTTTTTAACTTCTGGGCTCGAGTCCTCCTCTTGTATCACCTTCCCAACAAACTGTAATTACAGTTTGTGGCCCTGCACATGGCTATGGAACTTCATAATTTTAAAAATAAACTTGTACAACTAAAACACTTTTAGAATTTTATATTCTAGCCAGTCGCTGATTACTGTATATATAACATCAATTAATTCTGGTTTGAGAACTTTTTATTCTATAACTATGCCAAATTCTTTATTTTCCATACAACGTTCTATCTTACTTTCTTAGAAGGAATTTCCATTTCTAGCTTTTTTTTTTCTAATTTTATTGTACTAGGGTAGTACATTCTGTATAATGCTTAATGAAAAGTAATGAGATTTATCAACTTTGCTTCATTCTTAATTTTAGAGCAAAAGCCTTGTCTCATACCCTAAGTAAAATGCCAGTTGCAGTTCTGTATTTTTATCAGGCTGAAAGGGTTCCCTTATATTTCTAGTTGGAGGACAGTTTTGTTTATTATGATTCTTTGTAATGCCTTTTGGGTCCATTAAGATGAGCATAAAGTTTTTCTTTTTTAAGTTGTTAATATGGTGTATTACACTGATTCATTTTAAAAACCACACTAATTAGGATATCCACTGTACTAAATACAAAATTAAAAAACAAGTGATGGCAAAAGGGTGGAAAAATAAATTTTTGTGCACAAATGGTGGAAATGTGACATAGTGTGGTCACTATAGAACAAAGCAGAATGGTTCCTCAAAAAATTACACCAGGCATGATGGTACATGCCTGTAATCTCAGAACTCAGGAGGCTAAAGCAGGAGGATTGCCACAAGTTCAAGGCCAGCATGGGCTACAAAGTAAGTTTAAGATCAGCCTGAACTACATAGCAAGAACTTGTCTCAAAAAATTAAAAATAAAAAATCTAGAATTTAAAAATTAGTCTAGAATTACTATATGAATCCAACAATTTCAATTCAATTCAACTGAAAAAAGAATTTAAAGAGATATTTGCACACTATGTTTGTTGTAACATGTCTCGCAAAAGAAGTGGTCACAACCAAAATGTCCATGAACAGATGAAGAAAGAAAATTAAGTATGAAATTAGAAAGAAAATGTGTATATATGTATACTGAAACTTTTTTTAACCCTGAAAGATAAAAAGAAAAAGAAAAGAAAGGACATCCTCTCATATGCTAAAACATAGATGAAGCTTGAGGGTATTACGCTAAATCAGACACAAATGGAAAAATCCTAACCACGCAGGCTTGACGGTACATACCTGAAAACTCAGCACAATGGAAGGCTAAGGTAGGAAGGTCACCCAGTTTTGAGCCCTGGCAACTTAGCAAAACCTTGCTTGGAATAAAACAGGGCTTGGGAGGTAGCTAAGTGTGAAAGATTGGGGTTCAATTCCCAGTTCTACCAAAATTTTTTTTCTAAATAAATATAAATAAATGGACAGTGTATTTCAGTGAATACAGACGTAATTGAGATTAGGTCCCCTCCAATATCGGTATTCTTCCTTTTTAAAGTAATAGAACTATCATTAGATAGGCATACTATAGGCCAGTTTCCTAGGCCCTTCTCCCCCTGAAGTGATGTGTCAATGTAACTAAGGTCTGGCTAATAGGATGAGACAAAAGTCTAATGTCTTATCCTCATAGGACTCAGTTTCCACCTCTCAACTCTGTTGTGCTTAGGGTGTGATTTTCATCATCATCTAAGGTAAAGTCTAGCTTTAACTTTCATTACTCCTCTTCCTAAAGACTGATGGAGGTAAAGTACGATTTTAGACATTAAGAACGTAGTCACATGTCAGTGATGGTGAACCTTTTAGAGCTTTCACTGGTAACAAACAGCCCACTGTGGCACACATGCCATAGGTTTACCACCACTATCCTATGTTAAGGATGAAAGAATAAAGTAGAAAAAGTCTGGTCCTCAACAAGATCAAGAAATCAAATAAGCCCTTGATTACCTTTCTAGAGAAATAAAAAATATAAGCCCTAAAATCAAATGGAATAATTAAATAGCAAATTAGAGAATGCTGAGCAAATAATGAGTCAGAGAATTATTTTAAGGAAATTATCCAAAATGTAGGACATTATGGAGAAAAAGATGGCAAGATATGTAAGACAGGTTAAGACAAATCAGGATAGAATGAGGTGAACCCATACAGCTTTAATGGGAGTTTTAGAATAAGGCAACTTTAAACTGGGTGTGGTGGCACACACCTGTAATCCCAGCACGAGGGAGGCCAAGGCAGGGGAATCACTGTTGAGTTTGAGACCAGCCTGGGCTACACAGTGAGTTCCAGGTCAGTCTCAACTCCATAGAGAGACCCTGTCTAAAACCACCACCCCGCAAAAAAGAAAAAGAATATGGCAACTCTGTGAAGAGTTGAATCATTTCTGAGTAGGGACAAATGAATATTTTAGTACCAGTTCTCAATGTCAGCATAATCAGGTTTAGAAACTTCAGATTCCAGCCTTTTAACCAGTAGTTCTTAAAATGTGATTCCTCAAATGGCAGCATCAGCATTATGGAAACTTGTAGAAAAAATTCTCAGGATCCACACCCGACCTACTGAATTAGAAATGTTCCCAGTAGACTCCGCAACTGTGGTTCCCCCAATACTGTGGATAGAACCTATGGTCTTGTACATGCTAGGCAAGTGCTCTAACACTGAGCTACATCCCCAACCCTGGCCACTGTGTTTTAACAAGCTCCCTTCTCTCCCTGATTCTAATATGAGCTCAACTTTGAGAAGTCTACTTTGTAGTCTCAATGCCTATATTACTTTTCACACACTCATATGAATATCTTGCTGTTGCTCTGCCTATGAAACCTTCCCATTTAGTCCTTTAAGGGTGTGCTGTGGTTGACCAATTTCCATTCATTTTTAATGTCTTCAATGAATTTTCTTTTCATTTTTCACCTTAACTGACTTACGCTGTTCACTTTCTCTTATAAAGTACTCATCTACAGACTATTTATTCTCCCAAACCATATGTAAGCTCAGTCATCTCCTACATCCCTATCTTCAAAAATATCTAGATAGGGCTGGGGATTTAACTCAGTGGTGCCACTAGGACCTGAGTTTGATCCCTGGTTCAAAACAAAAACAAAACAAAACAAAACAAAAAGGATAAAAAAAATCCTACCTTTTCTGAATATCCATTTCCATAATTTTAGTTGGCCAAGTGTGTGCAATTTTGACTACCAAATTTCTCTCACAATATTAAGACCAGGAACTCTCTACCTATGGGACATTTCCATTTGGATGTTTCAAAAGAACCTCAAAATCAATACATACAAATCTGAACCAGCTGTGTTGTCCAAATGTGTTCTTATATATTCTGACAGAAATGAATGGTACTATTCATCTATCTAATTATTCAAGTCCAAATCCTGGAAATCATTGACAGAACCCTTACTCACACAATCAATTGATCACAACTTACTTCTAATTTTACATTAAGTTCTTCAATTCTCATCACAACCGTCACTTCCAGAGTGCAAGTTAACCATCCCTTATTAAGACCACATTAACCTTTTAATTGGTCACTCTCCTTCCAGTATTGTGCTCCTAGAATTCATAGAATTCATTTTGAAGACTTTTTTTTAAAACAAAAATTGGAAAAAAAAGTCTCATTATGTAGTTCAGGCTGGCCCTGAACTCACTATGGAGGACAGGCTGGCTCTGAACTTGCAGTGATTCCCTTGCCTCAGCCTCCTGAATGCTAGAATTGCAGGCATGTGCCACCACAGCTGGCAAAAATCTTCATATTTCAAGAGTGCTTATTTTTAAATTATGTAGTACCTTATGGTATGTGGACTATATTTCAATTTTTAAAAATCACATGAGGCTGGGGATACAGTTCAGTCATAAAGCACACCCTGGGTTTGATCTCCAGCACCATAAAAACACACAAACCAACCTCCCAAATTCATGTGGTCATATAGTTTTAACAAATCTGCCCTAATTCAAAACAGATTTAAATCTAACTTTTTTATTCAATAGTTCTGGGTCACAAACTTAATGATACTAGTTTTATCACAACTATTTAACAAAAAGAACATCAATCAAATAGGAATCATCAAGGCCAGAGATTTTCAAACACAAGGTCCTGAGTTTGCTCCCTGGTACTGTAAAACAACAACAACAACAACAACAAACAAACAAAAAAAACCAAATAGGAATCATCTGATAAAGAACATCAATTAAATAGGAATAATCAGATTAGATCCAAATAAATCCTAAAAACTTAATGAGAGGTAGGGACAAGGGGAAAAAATGAGAACCAAGACCTGTCATGTAAAGGTACAGGATCCCAGTAATGAATGTAACTGTGCTGTGTACCTAGAATGTACCAATAAACTCAGTAAAAAGACAAAAAGAAAACTTAATGAGAACAGTGCCTAGTGATTTCATCTACATAAACTACAACATATTTTAGTTTTTATTACAAACACAGACACTTCAATATATATTTGTAAGATGAGCAAAATAAGAACATTTTTTAAAATGTTGAAACACATAGAAAAAATTTTTGAAAAATTAACTCACCATACACACCTGTAGAAGGACTGGAACTGTTCATGGTAGAAGGGCCGTTATTGACACCACGAGAAAGAAGCTCATCGAATCTCCGCTGAAAAGCAAAATCAATGCCCAATTAATAAAAAGTTTACAATAATGGTTTTTTAGTTACTACAAAAAATATCCAAGCTAATACTATTACTTTATTTTAGTATGACGACATTTAAGGGGAAGTCCTTGAGGATAACAAAATCTAAAAGGTAGCAGTGAACTGTAAAGAAAAATTATTGCATATAACATGATTCAGTTTTTTTGTTGTTGTTTATTTTTTGGGTTTTTTTTTGAGGGGGTACCGGGGGATCAAACTTGAGTCCTTGCCCTTGTGAGGCAGGTGGTGGAACCACAGAGCTAAATCAATTTGATCCTCTGTACCACAAAAAACAAAACAAAAGTGTCATAACAGATAAGGGAGACCTTATCACAATTTTTTTAATCAAATCCAGTACTCCAAGATGTTATATTTGAAATACTGACCTGTATTTAGGTGGTTGCATTGTTACACTGTTTTTACTATGTATTTACATGCAAAAATATTTGTGTAGCTCTGAGAATCTTGACTTTTCCTTTTTTCTTTTTTGTATCAGGAATTGATCTCAGGACTTTGTGCTTTTGAGGCAGGCAGGATGGCACTGAGATAAATCCCCAACTCGAGCTTTCATTTTCTATGTACTTCTTCGAACAGAACTCAAAGACTTTTTTTCCAACACTGAGGATTGAGTCCAGGGCTTTTGCTATATCCCCAACCTTTTTTATTTTTATTTTGAGACAAAGTCTAAATTACTAAATCGTTCCAGTTGGGCTCAAACTTAAGATCTTCCTACCTCACCCTTCCAGAATGCTGGGTTGTAGACCTGTGCTACGAGGCCTGGCTTACAGTTTATTTCTATGCTGATCAAATCATTAATAATCACTGAGTGAGTTTTCATCCTTTAATCTTAATGTTTTTATTACTTTTTCCTGGTATCAGGGATCGATCTCAGGACCTTGCGCTTGCCAGGCAGGCATGGTGCCACTAAGCTACATCCCTAGCCCTATATAGTTTTATTATTACTTAATGTATACTGTTTTTGGTGGTGGTGTTTGTTTTTTGAGACAGGGTCTCATATGTAGTTGACCTGGAACTCACTATGTAGCCCACACTGGTCTTGAACTCACAGTGATCCTTCCAGCCTCAGCCTCCCAAGTGCTGGGATTACAGGCATGAGCCACCATGCTGGACTAATGTATAGTATTTCTTAACTATAATTTAAATAACACACTTTTGGGTAAGAAATTTAACCTAACTTCAAATCTGAACTGTCAATACTAAAAGATGTCAGACAAGACTTTTCATTTAACAATAATTACCAAGATTTAGCCAGAATCATATATATGGAGTATGAGGTGAAAACAAACCTATTTTTTTTTTTGGTACCAGGGATTGAACATGGGTCTTTGCACTTATGAGGCAGGCAGCAACACCACAGAGCTAAATCCCCAGCCTAAAATAAACCTATTTCTAATAGCACTATTTGTTCAGCTTGATCAATTTTTAAGAACAAGTATTTTGGTCCACTGGATAGTAAAACAATATCCAGCCACTCTTACAAATATTAGAAAGACAACAATGCTAACAATAGACACTTAATGCGGGGAACTATTTCAGACGGCTGAAGAAAAACTATCAAATGTATTTGCATAATAGAATTATAATTATTTAAACAACTAATTAAATATCCAGAAATTACTTCCCTTGGATAATCAGAAATGTATTAGAGACACAAAAGGAAAGAAAGAACTGAAAAAGAATGGAAGATGAATATAAACTCCCCAAAAGACTAGGATGAAGGTCTCACTTGAAGCATAGGTCTTTCTATTAATTTCTTAAATGTAGGTACAATCAGGTTTTGTACCCTGATAATTAAAGGCTAACCTTTGTAGCTCACTTTCTACCTGCAGCTATAGAAAGGTAAACTTTTGTAATTTTAAATATAGTAAATATTAAAATTATGCCCAACCTGGTTTTTAGAGATGAGTAATGTGGTAAAATAAGAATAAAAATATAGGGCCAGGATTTAGCTCAATGGTGCTGTGCCTGACTCACAAGCACCACGTCCTGAGTTCGATCCCCAGTACTGGGGGAAAAAAAAGAATAAAAATATAAAAACATATTTCGTACTTTTGTTCAGTTTAATATCAACATGTTTCTCTAAAAATGAAGCTAGTCTGGTCTTAGAGACCATTTCAATTATTTTTAGACTTGCAGGGATATATGAAAACATCAACAAAACATCAGTTCTAGGTTGACTGTAGACTGAAATGTAAAGGCAAAAACAATGAGGATTCTAGAAGATAATATAAAGAAGTGAGTAGCTTCACTGTTCTGGAGTAGGAGAAGTAATAAAACAAGAAGTACAACTATAAAGCAAAGATGTAGATAAAGTAGACATTAGGATTTTTTTTTTAACATAAGACATTATTTGGAAAGAACAGGAGAAAATATCTGTGATACATATAACCAACAAGGGATTTACTTAAATTTACTAAGTAAAAGAAAATGGGAGGGCCAGGGATTTAGCTCAGTGGTGCCAATGCCTGCCTTGTAAGCACAAGGTCCTGAGTTTGATCCCCAGTAACAAAAAAAAGGAGGGGGGACCACCCAAAACACTGGAAAATTAATAATCCAAAGTCAAGATAACAGGAAATAAGAAACTTAAAGGCACTTCACAAAGTGGAAAAACTCAGTACTTTTTCAGAGAAAATTTCTCTCAGGAAAATTCACCCCTATTTATGGCTATGTGACTTCCAGTGTCACTGCAAAAGATAATTTCCTGTCTCATAGACCTACAGTAATTTTGTGATATGTTTTGGCCTATAAAATATGCATAGACATGGGCTACACGTAAACCAAGCAAAAGCTTCAAAGATCAGTCATTTCTGCCAGCTGCATTTCTACTTTTTTGTTATTTTGTTCTAAAACATTGGAATATGTCCCACATAAGAGTATCTCTGTAATAGCTATCAACACCATAAGTAAACATGAAATGTTTTTCTAGCCATGTATAAAAAACTAATATGAAGCCAACATAGGAAAATACACTTTTAATATAAACAACCATCATGACCTATCAAGTAGATGATTAATTTTTGTAAATGCACGCAATGATTATACAGTAATGAGAATGAACTTGCTCCAAAAAATAGGTGAAATCTCACACATTAAAATGTCAGTCACAAAAACTACATGTTGTATTACTGCATTTAGTAGTATATAATAAGATAGTCAAAGATAAACTACACATACAAAAGAAAATTTCTTCACACTATATATACAAATTAATTCTAAAAAGTATTAATACTAACAAACTTAAGAAACAGGAGTAAATCTTCATGACCTTCCTCAAAGAGGGAAAGGAATCAAGAGATGGAGGGAGAATGGTGGGGAAGAAAGACAAGTACATGTGCTAATTCCAAAAAAGGGGGCAAAGTTCAAGAGATGGATAGAGGAGAGAAGAAAGGGAAAGGGGATGAAAAAAGAAATTAAGGTATATTATATAAATGTACCAATTCCCTACAAGGAATGTAAACACTATGACTACAAACATGTACTAGTAAAATGATCTGAAAAAAATGATTTCATGACATAAAAACAGAAATGTCAAAGGATAAAAGTATATCAACTGTACTGTTCAAAAAAAATTTTTTTAACTTTTAAACTTTAAAGTAGAAAGTCAAAGACCATTAAGGATAGAAGTCAAACTCTGGGGCCCTTAACCTGCAAAACTCATTAAAAGCATGATTTAGCTGGGTGAGGTGATATCTGCAATCCCAGCACTGGAGGGTGAGGCAGAAAAATCACCACTTAAAATCCAGCCTAGGCAACTCAGACCCTCCCACAAAACAAACAAACAAACAAACAAACAAAAAAGGGCTGGAGATGTAGCTCAGTGTATAGCCCTAAGTTCAATCCCCAGTGTATTTCTAAAACGGCATGACTTGTGTTTTCTTCTGAAGCAGTCTGGGACTTGAAAACAAGCTGCTCTTGCCTAAAGAGTCTCTTCACTTGCACCTGCAGATGCCCAAGAGGTAAATAAATGCAGAGCAAAGCTTGACCTTCATTTTGTATCTGTCTCTTATTTCCTTAAAATTTATTTCCTTGCTCAGATCTGTATACAGGGTGTGGAAAGTATATAGGGAGTGCCTAAAAGCTAGCAACACAGAGTTGCTAAATTTTACATAATCTATTTCAAGACTGAGGACACCAAGGTAAGAGATTTACAGGGCAACCCAACTACTAGCAAGTGCCCAGGATATCCAGTCATTTCCCTAAACCTCTGAGATCACCCTAAAATCAGCAGAGGCTTCATGAAATCAAGACTTCCCCAAGAAGAAACAATTATCTCAGGAGAAGGAATTAAGTGATAAGGACCTCTACAGAGCCATTTGCAAAATGATCAACAAGACCCCAAGTAGCACAACTCCTTAAAAGTTATTCCCTTCTTTTTTGACATATGCTTTCTCTTCATCAAAGCTGTGCCCCTTGGGTAAAGTGAAGTCCTCACAGGGTGTCACTACCTATAATTCCAGAGGGCTAAAGCAGGGAAGTGGTAAGTTCAAGAACAACCTCAGCAACTCAAACTTTATCTCAAAATAAAAAAATAAAACAAAGGCTGGAGATGCAGCTCAGTGCAAAAGCTCTAGGTTCAATCTCCAATCTGACAAAAACTAGGTCCCTTTCGTATTTTCTCTTGCTCTCTAACTCTTCCTAATCAATAGCCTATGTCTAGTACTGACCTTGTCCTGAAATGGTTTTGTGTGACAATGTTAAGAACATTCCCAGGGCCAAGTCAAAGTTTCCATCTCTTTTTTAAGAGGATTTCTTTGGACCACATCGAATGACACAGTGAGATAGATAAAGCGTGATTTAAACTGGCTGGGAAGAGAGGCATAAGATCCCAGCACCTCCTCTCAGGATCCATATACGGAGGTTCTTGCAGGTTCCCTCAAGATCTAGACAGCATAAAAAATAGACACCACAAAGAGCTCACTATCATGGCTTTCTTCACAATAGCC